TATTTTTTCATCGTAAAATGCGGGGAAGTATCGATGGTGTTTAAAATATCGTTACCGATGTTTTTTAAATTTTTTTGTAATTCTCATTCCCATCCCCACATATATTATTACAGTAAGGCTCAAAATCGGTTTTGTACCACATATAAACTCCTGTCATGCTCAAATACCATGAATGGGGTACCGTTGGATTCATAATTTCACGGGGGGTTAGCGAATCGTATTCTCCACTTTTGTTTTTCTTTCTAAAATATATAATGTCGATACAAACATTTTGCTAGGCTTCAATACTGGAACGGTTGTAGGTCTGTAGATCGATACGGGACAAATTGGATCTTGAAGATTTTGATGCGCACAGCAAGACCCGGATAGTTCCTCCAGAACTATCGGATCCTGCGTTTTTAAGGCCAAAAACGTACTATTTTCGAGATAACGCAAGGCATAGGGTTAGCATCCATACAGCCTTACATTAATTGTGGTACTGTCATTGAATACATATCTCATTTCGTTGACTTGAGGTCTCTATGATCGAGAGAGGAGTAGTTTATATTATTTATCGATGGTGTTTTTGATCGGCAAGGCATATCATCGTTAATTTTTCACCAAATCTGAAGATCGAGCCATCAATTACGAAGGTTTCCTTCTCCTTCAGGCGGGCAAAATAGTCCAATCACCCCGAAAATTCAGACAAACAAGTTATGAAATAAAACAAACTTTATTTGCGAATAACTAAAAAATTACACGCTTTTTTCTTAATTATAACGGTTATGCCTTAATTATGGTGGTTATGCCATATAAAAAATTACTAAATTCTCTACAAAATGGAAAAAAAATCATCGGACTATTTTTAACAAAGATACAGCTTATTGAAATTTGTGAACATGTTGGTTCCAAACAAAAATGAAGATTTTAATTAATTTTTGTTTTCTTTGTTGATAAGATAACATTTGATTTCTTTATCTTTTGATACCTTGCATTATTTTATTTTATTATTATTTTGGCATTTGATAACAATATGCTGTGCGAATTTTTCGCACGGGTCTACTAGTAAAATTAAAATAAAATTTTTATTATTTCATAAGAACTATAATGAAATGAATATTTATAATTAATAAACGATATAATTTATAACATAATAATATATACATATATTATAATTATATTTCGTGATTAATTGTGCTTTTAAATTATTTTTTTTAAATTAAAATGACGGTTATATGTTGTAATATAGGCATTAGTTATAAATAGGTATCTAAAGTTATGCGTTTTATGAGGTCTCTATCATTTTCGAAATTAATTAGATGTCAATTTTAAAAATTCCCTGTTTTAAACAAAGAAACCATGATTTTTTGTTTTTCGTAGAAATTTTCTAATTTTGATGCCATGTTTGTGTTCTTTGGTCTTTAAAACATTAGTGTACTAAATATCAAGTAAATCCAATATCATTTACGAGTTCTATGCCAATGTCCACGAAAACCCGTATTTCGTCCCACTGTGCGGCGTCGCGTTAAGATACACTTTTAAATAAAGCTCATTATGAAGAGGATGGAATGATGGACATTTCTCTAGCTTACAGTATGAAGGTCCGATTTTTAGTTATAGAGATATTTGAATCCATATCCAAAAACACTTCAATTTGTCGTCTCGAGCCGACTTAACCCGAATGAGCGTTACACATCCGAGCCTAACTAATTCACTACACACAAAAAAGTGCAAAGCGCGCCTAAAGAAGTTTTCAATTAAAAAAATTTATGTTTTTTTTAATGTTATATTTTCTATATCCTAGAATATTTTATATATATTTTTAAATTGAAATAAAGAACAAAAATAAATATGATACATTTTTTGATTTTCTGTACTTCCATAATAAACTTCTGAACCATTCGAACCCTCTTGATTCCAAACTTGCTTCTATTCCTGATAACCCACCGAGGCGTCTGAAAAGAAGATGGCCTCGAGACCTTCATGTTAAACATGTCATGTTACTCGTTCATATTTACTTGTTGTATTTATTATTTATACAGTTGTAAATTTCAATAATAAAAAAAAAAGTTTTGATTGTACGTAGATTGATTTTTTTTACTAACTGTAAATATCTATCTGGCTATTTTACGCAAAAAGTACTGCAAAGAAAACAAAGAAGAAAGAAAAATGCTAGCCTAGCTCTGAGTAGTTGACTAGAATAAACTCGTATAATTCGAGAAACCACCGAAATAAATTACAATATCCTTTCTCAATTCATCTTTCCTGTAATTATTGCTGGCATATAAGATTATTAAAATTATTGCCTCAATTATATAAAATATAACTAGTAGGCCCCTGCGAAAAATTCGCACAGGATATTGTTATCAAATGCAAGATTAATAATAAAATAAAATAATGCAACCTATCAAAAGATAAAGAAATCAAATATTACCTTTTCGATAAATATAATCGACAAAGAAAACAAAAATTAATTTAAATCTTCATTTTTGTTTGGAACCAACATGTTTACAAATTTTAGTAAGCTGTGTCTTTGCTAAAAATTGTCCGATTTCAATGATTTTTTTTTCCTTTTGTAGGGAATTTAGTAATCTTTTATATAATCATGGGCATAACCAAGGGAAAAGTGTGTAATTTTTTAGTTATTCGCAAATAAAGTTTGTTTTCTTTCATAACTTGTTTGCCTGAATTTTCGGGATGATTGGACTATTTTGTCCGCCTGAAGGAGAAGGAAGCCTTCGAAATTGGTGGCTCAATCTTGAGATTTGGTGAAAAATTGACGATGATATGGCTTGCCGATCAAAAACACCATCGATAAATAATATAAACTCCTCCTCTCTCGATCATAGAGACCTCAAGTCGACGAAATGAGACATGTATTCAATGACAGTACTACAATTAATGTAAGGTTGTGTGGATGCGAACCCTATGCCTTGCGTTATCTCGAAAATAGTACGTTTTTGGGCTTAAAAACGCAGGATCCGATAGTTCCGGAGGAACTATCCGGGTCTTGCTGTACGCATCAAAATCTTCTAGATCCAATTTGTCCCGTATCGATCTACAGACCTACCACTGTTCAGGTATTGAAGTCTAGCAAAATGTTTGTATCGACTTTATTTATTTTAGAAAGAAAAACAAAAGTGGAGAATACGATTCGCTAACCCCCCGTGAAATTCCGAATCCAACGGTACCCCATTCATGGTATTTGAGCATGACAGGAGCTTATATTTGGTACAAAACCGATTTTGAACCTTACTGTAATAATATATGTACGGATGATTTTCCTAGAGTTTCTACTATATTTAAATATTTATGACTTCTTAAGATGGTTAGATTTTTCGGGTATCAATTATTTATCTCTTTTAGAGAATTCAGTGAGTAAGTTATTATTGTAATGTTTTGGGAGGTTATTGTCATAGAAAAGTGGAGGGCTGGTGCTATTTCATGAAGTTCGACTGTATATATGTATATATTATGCACATATTATGGATTTTGTGTGTCAAATTATGGGTTACAAAAGAAGACGACGTGGATTCATCCGATTTAGGTCAAGTTAAGTGTACTCAGTAGCTGAAGTTTTAGTTTTTTGTAATTGGGTCAGGTTTAGGATTATTTTTGCGACTTGTTAATCCAAGAGGGTTTGGATTTTTTGTTCGATTAAAGGCATTGCTTTGACCAATGCGTTAGCTGAGAACTAATTCTCTCTGATAACGGAAGTGTTAATTTCGTTTTTTTTTTCTTCAAAAGCTTTATAAAATTTTGAATTTAATATATATTTATCTATAGCATTATTTGGTTAAGGGAAAATTTTAGTTATGTAATTCACTGCTAGTTCTCTTATTCTAAATAAAAGTGGAAGTACTCATACTTGAGAACACAAACTGAGAACGGGATACAATTGTATTGTGTGATTTGTTACGTTGCATATTTATTACTGTTAAGTTTGTTTATTTGATGTTTTTAAGCTTATAATTTTCTTTCAGCATTCTATTGTATATGCATAGACATTTGCACACATACAACACACATACCCAGATATATTTAAGATTTCGTTAATGATTATAATTATTTATTAAAATAATATAACAAATTTTCTAACCTCTGGTGTTTCAGGACTGATGGAAAACTCCTGTAATGTTTTATTTTATTTTATTTTTAAATTAAACTTTTAAGTATCAATATATTTAATATATTTTTTTTTCTTTTTTTCTCGCCTCTACCCTAAGTTAATATAATTTATGTACTATGATTAATTTACTATCTGAAAACTAATTGTGAAATTATATAAACATAATATTTAATAATAAATGAAAAAAATAATTGACTTATGATATGAAAAAATGTTGTGTAATAAACTTCTGAAGGCTTCTCAAATTTCTTTCTTCTTCAGGTTTCTTGTAAACTTCACTTCTTTCTTGATTTTGTATTTGGTTTTCTCATTTCAATGTGTGAATTTTTCTAATTTTTATTTTCTAATTTTTTTTTTTTAATTGTAAGTATTACAAATTAATTATATATTTTTTATATACCTGACTCTAGACTGATTTTGAAATATCAAGAGCGTATATTTTAATTACCTAAATATTTATTTAATAGAAAAATTTAATACTCAAGAACCCAAATTTAAAAAAAATGAAATTGTAACTTTTTTTATCATGAACATGTTTCACATGAATCATTAAAACAACACTAAAATGTTGAAATATATTTTTTTTTTTTATATTATGTATATTACGAATTCTTAAAAATTATCAAAACTGATAAATGCCGAATGAAAGGCTATTAATTGAATCACACATCAATATTTCTTTTTTAAATTGATTCAAGCAAAATTAATGGTTTATAAGGATCAATTGTTTAGTGAGCGCATTTTAATGAAAATAATATGGAAGGAGAATAAAAATAAATAAAAGAAACATCCCTATAACAGTTTATAATTATTTATTAAAATTCAACTGTAATATTACTCACAGAAAAATGTATTATATACAAGGTTATGTAATAGAAAGTTTCCTCAAAATGCGAATATACACAATCAAACTTAGTGGATTTCTCTAATGTATTTAAAAATAAAAAATAAAAACAATATCAAACTTTATATTTAGGAAGTCAAAATTTGAAAGGTATGATGATACGGACATAACAATTGACCTTTCCTTTCATATGATCAATCACATCGTATACTAACAAATTACATATGTTGAAATATTTTATTTACATTTTTTAATTTTTTATTTAAAAAAATGAATTATTTATACATAAATCATGTAAGAAAACGATTTTTTAAAAATTTTATATTACTTGATGTGTGTTTAAAAAAATGAATTAATAAAATAATAATTTTTTGGGTCCATTAGATATTTTATGTTATATTATTATATTCTTCATTATTCCTTATTGGATATTGTATAGTAAAAGAAACCATAGGTTTAAATTGCTAGGTATAGAAGATTTGTCTGGTTGTATGAAATTAAATGTCAGTTTTTAGGAGATAAATTAACAAAATATAGGTACAATAATTACATTATGCCCAGTAATTTATTTATGGATTTTTAATAAGTAATTAACAATTAGTTAATCAAATTCAAAAAACATAAATTATTTTAGTACTCACTGAACCAATCAGCAAACGATTACCTCTTCTCAATTCCTTGGACCGTATTGGACGCTCCAATTAGCCTTATAATCCGAAATTCTTTCCGTTTTCGTTTCTTACAGATTCCGAAGTTAGGACCAGGGATTAAAATAAATTATGATTAAAAATAAATCTAAGTAGCATCGTAAATGATATCATTAGATTATTCCATTATTTCATTGACGATGTCTCCTAAAAATCGACATTTTATGTAAAACAACTAAATAGTAATTTGTTAGTATGCATTTAGTTAAAAAAAAAAAAAGTGATATTGGTCTCTCAAAAGTTTTTTTATCCCTCGTCAATGCGTTATTTAATTTATATAAAATTCACATACTTCCTGACGAATCTTATATATGTGTTTTCACTTCGGAACTTTAGAACATTCGGGGATGTTTAAACATAATGTGGAATGAATGGTACAATTAAAAAGTCCATGTTATGTTTACATCAACAGAGCATGCAAAGGTTAACATTTTATTTACAACATACACAACAAATATTGATATAACAACTCTCAAGAAAGACAGGGTATTCTAAACACAAACAGTCAGTTTTTGAGAACAAATATATATATTAACAGAGTATAAAGGTATGATACTTTAAGTAACTATATGTCATAATGGTTTTAAATATTTCCCAAGAACATTCTGAAAAAATCTTAATGATTGAGAACAGGTGGACGCCTGGGACACAACAGAAGGCATAACTTAACACGATAAGTTCACAAGAACTTACAATTATATTTAATATATACAGAATGATACAAAAGGTCTAACTTATATACAACTTTCTTGTATCCTATGGTTAGCTGTAACTACTTCGGGTCCAAGTTTTTGGTTATGGGATTTCACAATGAGAGTGTCAGAAATTATACCAGGGTTGCGGATCGGTCCTTGAACCTGGAAATTGGAAACGAATTAATAAAAAAATATGTAAAACTAATTCAGAAATATAGTCCGTGGTACAGACTTATTATCCTCACAATATTATCCTCTTGATCGAATTATTAACATCCGTCTGAAACTTAGTAAATAGTTTCATCTCATCGTAACCTACAACTATTATACTAACAAAAACGTTTGGTTTTGGGGCGTTTTCAATCTGGAGGGGGCCAAACTTTGTCTATTTAATATTATACTAAAAACTCGTAAATACTCATTTTCTTTCTACTTGGATCGTAAGATAATTTGATCATGAAATCGAGAAAAAAGTTGGCCTTCAAAAATATTGAGCTGTTTGGCGCGACCTACACCCCCAAATTTAAAAAAAAAAAAAAACGAAGTTATATAGGACAAACGGCCCAATATTTTTGTAGGCCTCTTTTTTTTCTCGATTATCTGATCAAATTATCTAACGATCCAAGTAGAAAGCAAATGAATATTTACGAGTTTTTAGTTTTTAATTAAATAGACAAGGTTTGCCCCCCTCCAAATTGAAAAGGCATCAATTTCAAGAGTTTTGGTAAATAAAATGGTTGTAGGTTACGATGAGATGAATCTATTTACGGAGTTTCAGGTGGATGTTAGTAATTCGATAAAAATGGATCTGTACCACGGAATATAGTATATACATGTTAAAATTGAGTTATAAATTATTGACCATACTATAATATTAAGGAAAGAAAAGGTACGAGGTGGCGATTATAAAAAAAACTTAAAATAGTGAAAAAATGTTAACATGATTTTAAGTTTTTTTTTAAGACAGCCACTCCGTAACTTTCATGAATGTTACAAATTATTGTTTTGCTTTAAATTCCTTTAGGAAAGTGATTAAAAAAAAAATGATAAACTGTATTCATTTTAAAAGTTATTTAAAATAGTTTGATATTTCAAATGCTTGAAAGAAAGAAAAGTAAATTTCTGGTTAAAATTATTAACATATTAATCTGACCTTAAAATTAAAATGATGTTTTACACAAGTATACATATGAAATTTTAGATAAATACATAAGAGTGAGCTCACATATTTGTTCAAATAAGCAATATAGATAATAGATAGGTATATATATGATAACAGTAAAATGAAGCTAACAGCTCTAAAATAGAAAAATATTATATTTACATATATTCGGAAGATTGATTGCTGAGGAGATAGAAAAATAAATGGTGTTTAAATGGGATGAAGGATGAGGGTTTGCATTTGGAGGATGCTAGGGAATTCCAAAACAAGGTAGCACCTAAGACAAAGGATTTTTAAAGGAAAATGTTCTATGAGAAGAAAAAAAAACAGGTTTGTGGGATGGGATCTCGTGTTGAACGAATGGACAGAGGAACAGGGAGTAAACAAATCAAAAAGGTAAGAAGTAAGAAGGTATATTATTAGCAGTACTGAATGATGAACCAGGAACACAAACAACTTCAAATGACACTATAAAAATAGAAACTTGAAAATCCTATCACTTACAACATATGTAACAAGTTTGACCACACGGTATGGTATACCCCTTTTTATTTTTTATGTTTCAGGTGTTTAATATCTTTATGAAGAAAGAGTATTGAAGAACGTCGTATGTGCAATACATTTATTGAACATACGACAAGGCTATAGTATAATTTTTTCAAAATAGTTAAAACCTATGTCGATATTTTCATAGAAATTTTTGCAAACACTACAGTGTAATCGAGGAGCTTGCTAAAAAAAATTGACATATTCACTTTAACTATGATGGAAATTTCGATTAAATCACAGATGCTCACTCACTGCAATAACAATTACTTTTCCTCATATAAGTGTGAGTGAAAACGTAGTTGTTTCAAAGAAATTAAACATCTCCAAATGGTGTAGGGTTAGTTTTTACTGTGAATTTACATCCAAAAGTAGTTATGAAGAGATTTTTTTTTTTTTTTTAATGAAAATAGATTTTTATTATCCTGGGACTTTTGTTCCTTTAGGACAAATTATACATACAGAAGAAATGTCTGTGTGACCATAAAATTAAATTATAATATTTACAATGCTCATTAAAATAAAAATATTGGAAGAAAAATAAAACAAAAACACTAAATACATACAGATATATATATAATACAAACATGTGAAAATAAAATAACATAAGTAAACAAAATCATTTCTGGGGAACTTAAAAAGTTCTCTTATCTACTTTTCATGATCAATCGGGTTGGGAAAGAAGTAGGTGCTTAAAAAGGAGAGATTTAAATGAGGAAACTGATTGCGCATGTCGGATATCGGGAGGGATGGTATTCCAGATGGAGACGGCTTGAATTATAAAGGATTTGTCAAACGCAGCAGTTCGGTGAGGAGGTGGATAGAGGTCAGAAGTACGGGATCTAGTGGGACGGGATTGAATGGAATATTTAAATTGTAGGCTGTGAAAAATATAGGAAGGTCGCTGAGTTCTGATGGCTTGGTATAGAAAGGTAGCAAGGAAGTACAGACAGCGGTTGGATGGATAGAGCCACTTCAACTTGGTGTAATACTGGGTTATATGCGTATCTCTTGAGATTCCGAAAACAAAACGTATTCGCAGTTCATCAGGCGTTTAAGTTTGGCCTCGAATTCTCCCTAGAGTCCGCCGTACACCAGACAGCCATAGTCGAAGTGGGGGACCACAAGGGAGGAAACAAGGAGTTGTCAGGATTTATATGTTTTATACTTTTGGTGGCAAACTACTTAACTCTAAGGTGAAAAAAAAATTACTGCGTGCTCTAGAAACTCTATTTTCATTTTACCATAATAATGCAGATGCATGCCATTATATTACACTTTTTTTTGTTTTTTTATGTTTCTGTATGTTCTTCTTCCGCCTTATTTACTAGTTTTATTTAAATTGTTTTTCCCCCACCCGTAGAACTAAAAGATTCGCAAAAGTTGAATTCTAACTTTTTTTTCTTTTTGCTGGGAAGTTGTATGTTATTTTCTGTTTTTGCCAATAATAACTTCAAATTAATCAGCAATTGATTTATTTGTTGTATTTCAAAGTGTAAATGTTTACATATTAACGTTTCGGGATATTTACTTCCATCTTCAGAACTACAATCCCAATATTTCTTTGTTGATTCATGGCTTAAGTCTAATGTGCTCCATTGTTAGTTCTAAATCCATGTTATAACATGATAACATGGATATAATTTAATATCCAGGGTCTATAAGGCATGATGATGCTCCGGATATTATATACTTTAATTTGTTACAACATGAATTTAGAACCTGACAATGGAGCACATTACACTTAAGCCATGAATCAACAAAGAAACATTGGGATTTTAGTTCTGAAGATGGGAGTAAATAAACCGAAACGTTAAAATATAAACATATAAACTTTGAAATACAAGAAATAAATCAATTGTATTTTAATTGGAAGTTATTACTGCCGAAAACAGAGCTGAAATAAAAAAAAATTAAGAAATGTAGAGAAAAAAAAATATATATATATATTTCAACCTCTTATTTCATTAATGATGAATAATTTAAAATAAATAAAACTATTTAACGTAAATTAACTAATATTTGTTATTTATTAACTTTACTTTAAAACAGCCAAAAATTAATAATTAATTTGCTACATAAAAGAAATATTAATTTGATATTATATTTTCTTTAAACTGCTTAAATTTTACAGAACAAGTTTTATCTGGAATGGAAAGTATTTCTAATATGATCAGACTGTTGTATATCGCGTTTGGTGTTGACGAATTTCCCTCAAGGAAAATCAAATTGAAGGGAATTCATTAGCTCTAAAAAGTTTGAGGGTGGATGACCCAAAATTTCTACAGGAGCAACGGTTAAGCGGTAAGGTCGACGATTGGTTTGTAAAGGGTTGTTTGTTTGTTGAGGTTTGGACTCACATTATTGTGGTTGTAGTGGTGTAGGTCCTCCATCATGTCCTCACTGGTGCGAAGCTTTTCCACCTCCTCCTCCCCATCTCCCTCCTTTCTCTTCCGCTTTTCCGGAGGAGTTTTGTAGATCTTCATGAAGCTTTTCAATGGTCTTCTCTCGACAAAATCTGCCGGTAATAGGAATTTGTCATGAAGGTAAAGTAACAAGTAGAAAAAAAAAAGAGGAAGAAATAGCGTACTAAAGGAAGTTTTTATAAAGAAAATAAATAAAGAAGAGTCTACATCAAATAAGGTGTGCTAATTTCAAAAATATTTTTGAAAAGAAATATTTTTAATTATTAGCTTTTTTATTTTTTTTTACACCCATTTGCTTTCCACCGGAACCGTAAGATAATTTGATTAAAAAAAAAACAGAAAAAATGAGGCTTACAAAAATACCTGCCGTTTGGCCTGACCTCCAATATTTTGTAATCAAATTATCTTATATGCAAGTGGAAAGCAATTGTCAATTCATAAGTATTTATTGCCAATCTATTTAACAAAGAAACTCCTCATTTCTGACAATTTTATTAGATAAGAAAGTTGCTAGTTACAAAAAATTAAGCCATTTAGGAAATTTTAGACGGATGTTAATAATTTCATAAAAAGTTGTCTTTACAATGGATTATAAAGCATTAGTCTACACTGCTCTATGAGCGAAATAACATTTACTAAATAACTTATACTGAGTCAATCTAGGGAATGATGAACTATTTAGTTATACATGGTGTTTCAGGGTTAAGTGGCCAAACCCCAAAAATATACTAAGGACCTCAAAACAAGAAAATAATTACCTCTGAAGGTATGCCCCAAACGCTTTGTTTAGGATATGTTCACACCTAAAGATTTTCAGTGTATTAATTATTTACGTTATATGAAATAAAGAAAACCATAAAATTAATATTCATATTAAATATTTTGATAGGTCCGCATTTCTTGTCGCCTCAAATCAATGCGGGCACATTTCTGGAATTTCTGAATAATTATTACTATGATTTAGTTGAACATGTTCCTCTACAGCTGAAAAGAGATATGTGTCTTAAATTAGAAGGTTGTCCTGCACATTACGGAAAATGTCCACGCCAATGGCTAAATGTTAATTATCCCAATCAATGGATTGGTCGTGCAGGACCAGTGGCTTGGCCTGCACACTCTCATGATCTGGTAACACTGGATTTTTTGTTTGGAGTGACATTAAACAAAAAGTCTATGCATACCTTAATTCCTTACGAAGAATGATAATTGAATCTTGTGAAACAATACCACATATACATATACCGTTCTGCCACTGCTGCTGTTGAAGAAAGATGCCGAGCCTTTCTTAATGCTCAAGGAAATCACTTTGAACAACATTTAGTATTAATTCAATATTTACGTTTAATTAATAAAGTAGTTGGAACACATAAATAAGTTTTATTTACTTAATATAACGTAAGTAATTCATAACAACGAAAATCTTTAGGTATGAAGTGCGGACATACCTTTATAGGATTTTTTTTTTCTTGTTTTAAGGTCCTTAATTCATATTTTCAAGGGAGTAGGGTAGTTCAGTAGTAGGGTACTGGCAGTACTTATGGTAGACAATTTATTTATCTGTTTCATTGCCCGTGGGGCGACCCTGGGTCGTAAGACCCTGCTAGGGTACACCCAGCCTCTATAACGTGGGTACCCTTAATTAAATAATTAATTAAGAGGGAAAACCTGGCGGTAGAGCTTGATCTCGGTCAAATCACCTCCTTGCACAACCGTTGTCCTAGAAACAGTGCTTTCCCTAAATAGTATTAAACCCAAAATAAGACCCTTCATGGGTTGTAGTGGTACAGGTATTTTTTTAAATTCATATTTTCAGTTTGGCCACTTAACCCTTTAGCCCGAAAGCTCTCCCCACACTTTCTCCCGTAGAACTATTACTAGTGTTCTTGAATGTGACAAAATGTATTAATCCTCAATAGAGAAATGTTTAAAAATAATTTGCGTAATAGTTTAAAGGGTATTTTGCAAACTATATTTCCGGGAGTATAGGGACATCAGGTTCCTGAACATATAGCTACTAAAGTTTGTCAATGATGGCTGTAAAAATTTATGATGTTTTATAATAGTTATAATTTTGAATGAAAATACAATTTACATTGACTAAACAATAAATATAAACTAGTTTTACCTATCAAAGGAAAAATAAATAATCAGCATTTTAAGCAGATAATCAATCAAAAAGTCATGGACCTTACCTGATCTAAACTAAATATGCAAAAGACATTTGTTAAGTAAAGTACATCAATTATGAAGAATTAATTTTTTATAAAGCATAAGAATTCAGGTTTGTTTGTCTTCATAAAGTCATATCGTTAAAACATAATTGAAAAGAAGCATTCCCTAAAGTAGTATTTCTCCAGACTTGGCAAATGCGGGATTGACACGGGATCTAGTACTCACCGTACTTGTTGGGTATGAGATCCGGATCTGTCTCGTCTTGTGGTGACCTTGCTGGAGGAGATAGGGGCCTGGGTTGCTGGTCGGGTTGCTTGGCTGAGGGTGGGCCAGACCTGCGGCGATGGAGTGCCCAACCGATCCCACAAGTGCTAACAAGAAGAACTGCAGCACCTCCGAGGAGCACCAACACCACCGGCTGTACTGGCAGCCTGCCCAGGGGACCTGAAACAACATTACTCTTATACAATAATTTATTCCATTGGTGGATCCACGTGGGAAGGAGGAGGGGACTTTTGGGATGAAGTTCCCCCTGAACATGGAAAAATAATTTTTTTTTCTTATCATTAGTTTGTATTTGTTTTTGAGTGTGATCTAGCCTAAATACATAAACATAATGTAAGCACATGCCAAGGAAAAAACAAAACAAAAACATTATCCTGTATAAAAAGCATTATTGTTACTGAAAGTACTTTTTTCATAGAAATGAAATAGATTTTGACAATATTAAAATTCTACATAAATCTTACAACCGATCAAAACTTTAGAATCCATATAGGCAGAGGTGCCCATCCCTCTCCCTCCCAATATCGATAGTGCAAGAACCTACCTCCCCCATCCCAAGATATTTTATTGTTCACCTTTACATACAAACATACAGAGCAAAAGTAGAATAAGAATAATCGTAGAACATACACAATTACACTTGCTGAGGTCTATTCCGCGTTTTCTCCTTACACCTTATTCTGAAACTTTTCATTCCTAAAATTCATAATCCCATTGAAATTTGCTCCCCTCAAAAATTCAAAAAACTGTTAAAAAGTTCGATGGCGAAACTAGCGAAATAAAATCCCCTTCTGTGCACCTCTGCATATAGGGTAAAAGCACAAGTTGCTTTCATGCTTTAGGAAATTTCTTTGAACTTTTAGGTGTATAAACTTAAACACTGATGTTATTGTATGTTTCTTGGACTTGCCTTATAGATATATTTCTCACCTTGCAACGACGCATTTGAAATTCATGAAATATCAATCTAAATTTTAAAAATTTTGAGATTAAGAAAATAGTTTGGTTGTACCTGCAGTTGATACTATTTAAACTATTGACCACTAACGGATCCAGGATTTAATTTCGAGGGGGTTTCAGCCCCAAAGCTTTTTGTATATACATACACAAAACGATAATTCCTTTGATGATTCTTAAAGGCCTATTAAATGTAATTATACGAAAGCAATACTTTCATATAATTTCATCATAAGGCATAGTAATATTTTATCTTTTCCTGTTCTTTTGACGCTGTTTGATTTGTAATGTTCCCATAGCTGACAGAGATGAGTACCAGGATGAAATTATGCGAAATAATGTGTTAAATTTCATATTATTTATTTTAAGATTAACAAAAATTATCTTTAACTTATTATAAAACTGACTGCTTTTCGAAATTAAAATTTATCGGTACTATCAAGAACCTATTTCCGCTCTGTAATTAATCCACAAAACTAACATTTTTCAAAGAGAGTGTGGAGGATGATCCATTTTTAAGACCAAATACACTGAATAAATCTCTTTTAATTTCTGTTGTTTTCCATTAAATCCATTAAATAAGAAATAGAAAAATTAGATGCGGAGCCAAAAATTAGATTTTATACCCAACTTTGAGTAGAAATTATTATTTTTTTATGTTAGTAAAACTTTAGTATATAACATTAATTATCCATAAAAACCTATGAAAAATAGAATAAATTATGGCAATTATGTCTACCGATTTTTTCTTTGGTTTTCCGGCATTTTAATAGGAATATTTTTTTAATTTTAACTTTATATTCTAATATAACAATTTGTCAAACGTCAGGATAATAAATAATATTTATCTATTTGTGTAATGTATATAGACTAATCTAAAGACCAAAAAAATTTCTTTAGTTCAGTATTTTTTTTATTTTTTATTTGATGTAAAATATCTTTAAAAATAATAGTAAATATTAAATTACGTAAATATTTTTTCTTTCAATGATACTTACATTGAGCGGGTTAAATTAATTTTAGAATAATAGCTATATTTAAAACTAATGTATCTTGGTTACAGGAAAACATGAGTCACTGATCAGTCCATCTGTAGTCATATATGAAGACTGATCGTGGGGCAACGCCTATGCGTGTCCCTCCTTTATTTTAATACAGCTGTCATAAAGGAAGCCCACTGCCCTTTATGTGGGTAGGTAATTTCAATTAGTTTATTTTTTAATTATAATTAGGGTGTAGCATGTTGTTTTTAATTATTTTTATAGGTTATAAATAATAATGTTAGAAATGTTCTAGGGTATATAATAAAAGTGATCTTAGTTATTTCTGAAACAAAAACGTAAAATCTATTTCTATCCATTTCTAGTTAATAAGTTTAAAAAAATATATAAGTTTAAAAGGTAACCACGTTTATATTTTTGTTCTATTGCCAGAGACTTGATTAACATTTAGTAAAATACTTTTAATATTCTGCAAAGTAAAAATGCAATGAATAATCGAAATACGCAACTATTCCTTAAATACCAGTAACGTATTACGAAAGAGGTCTTAATATTGAAATAAAAATAGTTTCTGATCGCCAATTTTTAGTCCGGCTTTTACCTCCACGTGTGGAGGAATATATATATTTATATAATTGTGGAGGAATTTATACATGTATATAATTATTATTTTATTTTTATTTATTATATATTTAGTGTAAATGAACTCCTGTATCAATATTAATAGTGTCCTTAATTGGGAAAAAATGTTATAAAATTCAATAAAGAAAACCAATCACAACAAAAAAAAAAATGTCTAAATTTTATTATTTAGAATAAATGAGTTGTTAGGAAAAGGGACATAAAGTCATTAATTGTTTCTTTTTTCCAAACGAAGATTTAAATATTCAGAAACATAAAAATATTCATTCCTGTCTAATATATTTTCAAAGTTTTATTTTTCTCTCAGCCATATTAATGAAAGTAGGCTAAAAAAAAAAAAAATGTTCTCACGCTTCTTTCTAACGTTTTAAAATATTAAATGATTTTCATTGGCCAAGAGTTATGAAAAGAAGTGATCTGGAGCAGGGGTGTAATTTTTTTTGTTTTATTATTATTCTTTTTTATTAAGAATTAATACATTTTACAACAATTAAGGTCACTAATTGTAAGTATTAGAGCTATGTGTGACACAAGGGATGCAAATAACAACAAATTATATAATATCATATATGTATATATATATATATATATATATATATATATATATATATATATATATATATATATATATATATATATATATATGTATATATATATATATATGTATATATATATCGTATCTATTTATACCACGGGGAAACGTAATAAAATTGTTTTCTGGGGTATACGTTTATGGAGTCTATTTAAATACATTTGATGACAAAGTACTCAGCTTATAAATTATTTTATTTTAATTGACTATGGTTCTGATGATGAACCGTTCTATAAAAATACACGTTTTTTACTAATCTAGTCACATTAACGTGTCTTTTTGAAGTACGACATGACAGATACTTATCGTTGTCCAGGATTTCAATGAATTGCACCTTGTTTCAAATCATTTGATATTTTTGTAATAAACGTTTTAAATAATATTCTCCACTTTTTTTTTATAATTCCATAATTGCCCCTATCAGAAAAAGTAATGTCAATCCAACATAAACATTACTTTTTTCGTATTAATAAGAGCGAAATTACCTAAAATTGACTAATAAATCCCGTGCAACAGAATCATTATTTCCTTGTGTACTTTTTAAATATATTGCAATAGTAATTCGGTGTATCGAAAAAATAAATCGATATATCGGGTATCAATATTTATAATGTTTGAAAACAGTTGGGAGGTAAATATCGAACAATAATATCGATAGTCATAAGATTTATCGGAATATAAAAAAAAAAAATATTTATGTTTCAAACATGAATCTTTGATAGAAGAGGAAGAGGATTAACACTTAATTTAAGTTCTAATAACTTTAATAGCACAATTGAATATTTTTGTGATGTTATTGAAAAATGTTACAATTTATTGATATTTTTCACTAATGAAATCAAAGATAAATATTAAATTTTTATATGAAAACTAGAGAGGCAGCTAATCGATAGTTAATTTGTTTTCTTAATTTTATTTTTGAAAATACGTTTTCAACAGTAAAATTTTAATATCAATGTATGGAAATAAAAATATAAGTCAAATATGTAATATATATTTTATTATTCATTTCCAACATCCCTAATTTGGAAAGAATCATGTTCAGTCCCATGAATTTTTTTTTTTACTCAATCTAGTGAAAGAGCAGGTACCAACTTTATACAGACTCGATGTGGCCCAGGTGGGCTTTCCAAATTAAGAGTGGATCCAAGGTTAATAGAACAGAAAATAAATTTTCTTCCACAGCCGGACTTGAAACCTGCGTCTCAGATTTAGGAGCCTTCTTACCCAATGAACAATACTTTTTATTTTAAAAATATAAACTATTCGCATAGATAATAGCTATAAAAACATGGTTTGAAATCGATAGTTAATTTTTTCAAAAAGTAATGTAATAATTATTATATTTGATTTTTAATTTAAAAACCATACCGGATTTATAAATAAAAATTTAAATCGATCTTTATTGTTCACTGATTTCATTAAAAATAATGATCGCTCACTGAGTGACGGTTTCACATAAATAATAATGATTAAATTGTGATATTATAATATTGTGATTATATAATATAAAAATATTTTGATCAGAAAATAAAAATCACCTTTTACACACAAATAAAATAAAATATTAATGTACACATTTTTTTAATATTATATTCCTGAAATTAATGAAATTAATGGTGCACGCGTTACCTGTTATATAGATAGATAGAAAAATAATTTTATTCTGGGACACAGTCCCTTGAGAATAACAAAATAGAACAAAATTAAAAGATCACATCTGGCCAAAATAAAATCAATCGAAAAAAAGAAATAATGTAAAAAAAATATAAGGTAAACATTCTATATAAAAAAAAAACGAAACTATATACAAAACAATTAATACTATAACAAGGCACTTAAAGCTATTTGCACTAGTATACACTTTTAAGAAAATAATAAAGAATTAAAAAATAAAAATGTATCAATGAATCAATCAATGAATTTTTATGTATCAAATTCTCTATTAAAATCAGCTCGAATGGTTA